TTCAAGAACAAGATGACGAATAGAGAGAACAAGAAGAATGGCAAAGAGGAGACAATCAACGGAGTGTAATAATACAGCTTTGTACTTTAAAAGAGAAGAGGCACAGTAGGAGAGTGAACATCCTGAACAGGATGAAATAATTCTCTTTTTAGATCTAATCACTTTACTACAGATTTTTGTTAGCTGAAGACATCCCTCTCTAGCCCCTTTGTGTAGTCATAATTCCATAGTGCTACACATTTTGGGTTGCCAAACTTTCCAATATCAAGGCACCATTACAAAATCTCTCCCCCATTAAAATAAGTGGGTATTTATCACACACGACTTTAAACTCAACATGCACCAGGAAAATGGCAGGAGATAGGAGAAAAGGAAAAAAGAGTTTCTTAATTGTAAAATCTAAGAAAAATGTAGAGGAAGACAACAGAACTAACTTTTCTAGCTGATTGTGCCATGGAAAATTCCTTCCACAGATCCTGAACCACAAATTCATAGTAATTAAGAAACCATGGATCTTGTATACTCAAAGCGAACAGCTACATACAATAAAGGATCAGAGAATGAAAATGTAAGTCACACTAATTACCTAAACATTAGAGACCTTTCTTTCATCTAATAATTTAAATAGGGCAAAGCCTGCCAGAGTTTCAAACAACACAAGCATTTTTAAACCTCAAGCACCTAAAGACAGGACCAAACAACAAGATCAGTTACTTCAAAGAGAATTGAGCTACCATATTTACTAATACTTCATTTCCTCTATAAAGAATATAATCATCTTCCTTGATTTGTATAGCCCACTCTAACAGTGGAGCAAATTAATAATAGATGCATAAGAAAATTAGCAATTAAAATATTTTTAGAGCATTTCAAGTGAAAACAATCAAAACATATCAAAAGGGCCTGCAAAAAATAGGGTACATTTGTATTATTATTGCGAAAATAGCCTTTATGCACAAGTATATCATGATCAACCTATGTGTAGTGAGTGATTATAAATTATCTTCCCACCACCAAAAGTTTAGAAAAGAAAAGAACTTATATCTGGAAAACAGAAAATAAGACCAGATATAACTCTAATCCTCATGTAATAGCAGCCTATATGTAATTGAGGCAAACAATAATGGCAATTAGCATATAATATTTAAGCAGGTACAAAAAAAAGGATTTTTTTATCAGTAACAAATGAGCTATTTACTAAGATCAAAAGATGAGAACAACAATGTTTAAAATGTAGATAGCCTTGGCCATCCATTTCAAAATACATACAAATACTACAAAGGAAGAGTTCCTGATCTAAAGATTCCCTAGGCCTAAACCCCTTGTCTTCTATTCCTACAAACAATCTTCCAATTCACCAAATGATCTTTCCTAGTATCTCCTGGTTCCCACAAATCCCTCGCGTTTTTTTCTAACATCTTGGCCACTAGGGATGGGATTCTAAAGACTGAGAGGTAGTAGATGGGAAGATTAGACATAGTGGATTTGATTAGAGCAGTGTTTTAAAAGGCGTGGGAGGCGTATGCCAGAGGCGTTGACACCTTTGAGGCGTACGCCTCAGGTGCAAGGTGCAAGAGGCGTACGCTATGCGCTTTTTTCACGAGGTGTGCTAGAGGCTTACGCCTCATGCGCATCATGCACATCTTATATAAAAAGACAGAAAAAAAAAGAAAAAAGAAAAAAAAGGAAAGGAAGGGAAAGAAAAAGAAAGAGAAGGGAAAAAGAGAAAAGGAAAGAAAAGAAAAAGGAAAGGGAAGGGAAAAAAGGATAAGGGGAGAGAAAGTGTTTGCCCCTACCCTTTCGGCTGGGGGGCTTCGCCCCCCGGACACCCCAGCCCCTTTCAACTAATGCTATGCATCTTTATTCTTCTTAATATAAAAGATTTTTATTAAAAATAAAGAAAAAATGAGACCCCCCCTTCCTCTTCATCCTCGTCCTAACCCCCCTCCTCTTAAGGAGGCTTACGCCTCCTTGTGTTCGGGAGGCTTACGCCTCTTGCATTCTGAACTACGCCTCACGCCTCTAGGTAGTGGAACACCTCGCGTCACGCCTCCGTGTTTTAAAACATTGGATTAGAGTTATCCTTCCCCAAAGAGAAATGCAGTTCTTTTTGCTACCCAACTAGTTTTTTGGAGAAACTATCCACCACTAGATTCCAAAACACTGAAGATCTAGGGCTGCCACCAAGAAGTACTCCAATGTACATGAAAGGCCAATGTAATATTGAACAACCTAGTGAGTCAACATATCTTTGACCCACTCCTTCCTCCAAGTTTACACCTCCTAGGCAACTCTTATCCAGATTTACCCTCATATTGAAGATTCTCTCATAACACTTGACTAGAAGCTTTAAATTTCTCAGTCCCCTCACCCCATCCTCTAGAACAAAAATTATAATGTCATCCACAACTAGCAGATGTGAGACTGGCACTTGCTCCCTCCCCAGTCCCCAATCTCCAAGCTTTGAAAATCCCCATCCTCTCTACTCTCAAAATCAATCTACTCAAAACATCCACAATGAGAATAAACGGAAAGGGGGAGAGGGGAACCCTTTGCCTAAGGCCCCTCTTGGTGGGAAACAAATCCTTTGTTGATCTATTAACCAAAATTGAATAATGACAATTACTTACATACCCTATGATCCATTCCCTCCATTTCCCCCCAAGACCACAAATCCTCAATAGCTCCTCAAGAAAAAGACCAATCTACATAATCATAAGCTTTTTTCTAAATCTAATTTGCACACCCAATCCTTGGATTTTGATCTTTTCTACACACTCATTAGCAATAAAATTTTGATCAATGATCTGTTTTCCTTGGATGAACGTTCCTTGATTTTGAGTGACCAATAGGAGTAGCACCTCTTTCAATCTAAGGGAGAGGACTTACAAAGGCTTCCTATCAAGCTAATGGGTCTAAAACCTTTAGGGTGGGTAGCTTTTGAGGACTTGGGTATCAATCAGACAAAACTGGTAATAGCTCCCTTGTGGATAATTCCTCTCTCGTGATATTCCTCAAATGCCGCCATCAAATCCCCTTTGACAACCTCCCAACAATTTCTTCTTGGTCAGTTATATCTCTACCTCCACAACTAACTTAGAGACTTATCTCATTAATCCTCTAACTTCAACTCTCCTATTCAAATCAAATCCCCAATCAATGGGGTATGTAGAAATATATACAAAGATGCCTTCCTGCTTCTAATAAGACTGAAATAAAAGAAAATACAAAATAACCCAACCCATGTGTGAATTCCTTTGGAACCCATTGACTTGGAGTCCTGGACCTGTTGAAAAACCAAGGACCACTGACTTTCAGGTATTAGGACCCTCAAATGATGATTCTGAATTGGAAAAGCATCAAAACGCCATAGAATACCATTATGGTATGCGACCTTGGACTTGAGTCATGATCAAGTTACAATGGCGAAAAGTGCTAGGCATCTGCCCCTGTCCATTCTTGGTCCCTGTTAAACCTGTTAAGCAATGTATTAACTGATCATATAAGCAATTCATAATTTCCTAGTTAAACTAGTCATGCCACAGCAAAGCATATTAAAAATTCACAGGCTAGAGAGAATATTACATATCTAATGACATAGCATCAGTAATCAAAAAAATTGAAGGAGCTGTGCATGAAACAACACAGAAAATATAGCAAATTAAAACTTAGCCAAATGCATGTCTGGAGCACTAGTCAAATAATCAACCACAAGGAAATTAGATTCGTTCAAATATCATTCTATAACTTAAACTCTTCAGCAATGCAAAGTTGCAAGTGAACTGCGGCAACTGCCACTCAGAATATGCATTCGTGATGCAGAGGAGCAAAGAATTTTTGGATACTAGAAGATCAAATTGTGTATTATAAAATTAATTTTGCTAAAAGTTAGCCATGCAAACAACGTATTAAGGGAAATGACCAAAATTGAAGGGGGAACCACACGGCTCAGCAATATAATAATACTCGAAGCCGTGAAGTAAAACAGTACAGTTATAGGACATCATTCCCTCTGCGTTTCTGGATTCAAATACATAGATGAAGTAGCAATGCAGAAAAAAGATAGACAGGCAACAATTTCTCAAAGAACTAATTATAATTACATTGAGATTTGGACGTGTAATAAACCGATAATGAAATTGTGCAGCAATCAGGGATTGTGTACTACGGCTGTGACAGCATTAAGCAGGAAGCAGACTGCTTTGAACTATCAAGTATCCACGGGAATCATGTTGGAGAAAATAAAAACGAGAACCAACAGACACCCACTCATGCATATCGAAGCCCATTTTCAACGAACAGAAAGAAAAAATGGAGAGAACGAGTGAAACGCCGAAACGTGCTCTGGCCTCTGAGAAACGGTGGTAGTCTGGTAGACAAAAACGAAAATGTAAAGAAGCTGGTTCGATGGATAAAGCGGCTAGCGGTTGAAACGGGCTAACTGAACCGAGCCAACCCATGATCTTTCATTGGTTGTAGTGGAGAGTCTGGAGACTTCGGGATTCTTTATCGCCCTCACTAGTGCAGTGCTAGAGGGATGGAGTGGGGTGGGGGGTTTGTGACCTACCCAGGGATAATGAGCCGGGTTAAGTGGTTAACCCACATCGGCTCGCCTCACGTTGACTCACCCCTGTTGGGTTAGGGTCATATGCTGTTCATTTCGTTTATTGTCTCAATTAAAGCTTTTTATTCAAATATATAAGTTTGCCCCAATAATCAGTAATGAAAATTTTAGAAAATAAGTCCTATTCACACTTAAGTATATATATATATATAAAGTAGTATAAACCATGAGGATAGCTTAAAAAATTTATCCAAAAATAAATAACAATAATAATGAATTAAACCACTATAAATAAAAGATGTAGTCTGCACGTGACATTCAGCTATCATCCTTCTACCATGGTCCATGGGTAACTTACCGGGGCAAGGCAATATAAATGGATGAAGCAAAAAAAAAAAAAAAAGGGAGAGAGGGACTCAAAATGGTATGGACTCGGACGAAAATCCACTCAAAGTCCAAAGGTAGACGATCCAGGAGCGCGTCGTTTTGAGTTACCCACTTTATTACTTCTATCCCTATGGAAACTGGTTTCTGATTAGTGATCAGAGCTCTTTCTCTATAAAACTTCTCGTGGCGTGTGAAAGGGAACGTGTTGTGAGGCGTGCTCTGTGGGGAGCAAAGGGGATTTTAACTCAACTCGTATATTCTCCTGCCGTCTTGTGTAGTAATCAAATTGAAAAACCCACTCAGCATTTCGGAGAGCGAGCGAATAAGCGGAAGGAAATCACAGAGGCTGGTTTCTTCGAATTTTTTGATTTCAAAGCGGTGATAGTCCCGAAGGAGAAAGACCAAAATGTATCATCCTTCAAGAGGAGGCGTTCGCGGTGGTCGAGATCGTAAGCTCCCTTTCTCCCTTCCTCGTGTTTCTCTTTCTAGGGTTTCTACTTTCTAGTCCTCATGTAATAAAAATATATATCTAATCGGAATATGTCGAATTTTAACTTGGATAAATAGTTAATTATTGCGATCGATCGTCGTTGTGATTCAGTTTCATTTATTTCAGATGTTTTTTTTTTCTCTGATAAAGATAAACGTTGCTTTTTCTGCGGGGTTTGAAGTGAAACCCTGTCGGTACTAACAGAAATTTGCAAATTCTTTCATGAGAAATTAGGGAGTGCAAATGTTTTATATAATTCAAATTTTCATGTGCAATGCTAATTTATGTGGTTCTGATTCTATGTTAGAGCATTGAATATTTGAACTTTCTCTGTATACTGTATCATGGAAAAAAGGAGGCAAAAAATGGGAAGTTTTCGTATGAAGTTGGTCCTAGATATATGGATTAAAGATCGTTGTTTTATTAATGTTTTTTAAGTAATGGTAAAATAATGTATTAAAGCAAAACGAGTGTGTTATAAGGATTGGGAAAAGACTGAAAACGTAGAAAATTTGGTAAAAATATAACACTACATGGAAGGAAGTTAAGAAGAAAGTAAGTGAGTATAAAGTTAGGGTATATATGACCAACTCTACCATAAATTACGCATTAAAGAGGGAGAAAGTGGAATTTATAATCTAGTAAAGACGAGAGAAGTGAAGAGTGGAGACTTAAATCATGTTAGATGCATCAAAGAAGGAGATCAAAGAGTCTTGATAAAAGTTGTGGAAATCAAGTGCTAGTTTGGGAGTGCTGAAGGCTGAAGCATAGTGGCTATTTTGGACAACATTAAATGAAGAACATTTAGAGGCTTACAGTGGAGGTGGGAATAGCGAATCTAATGTATATGCAAGGGTGTTTTTTAATGCTTTTGGTGGGGCCACAACCCCTGGCTTCTTCATTGATATCGGCAGTATTTATTAATATAGTTTGGTTTTGTTCTTCTATGTTATTTTTTGATGGTTTAACTCAATTAATAATCTTTGTTCTTTATTTTTTTAATTGTAGTTTTTTAGTGTTTGTTGTTGAACTTGAATGTGGTCATTGTTTTATTTTGTGCATTTTAATTTGTTTTTTATTTTTTTAATATTTCTTGCTTCATTTTAATGAGGTTAATGCCTAATTGGGGGGGGGGGGTGTTCCAAACCAGTGTACATGATTTTACAAGGGCTACTTGGTAACATGCTGAACTGGGTTGTTTGGAAGTTGAACCTGATTAACATCCCTTTTTTTGAGGGGAATGCTGTTCAGCGTTTGGTAGTGTGCACCAAAGTGAAAAATGATGCAAAGGCCTTAAATGTGTCCTTGCATTGATTGACCCTGTTGGTTGAGAAATCTCATTCAACGCTTCATTTTTACCCTTCCCAGAAGGCTTTGTCAAATAAATGGTTCATTGAAGTTAGAACATAAATATGGGGACTGTAATTTCATCCCCTATTTGAGGGTGGGCCTTGGCACAACGGTTGGGTTGCTCCATTATGACCTGGGCGATCAGGGTTCAAGATTCAAATATTGGAAACAGCCTCTCTGTATGTGCAGGGGTAAGGCTGCATGCATCTGTCCCTCCCAGACCCTGCATTGGCAGGAGCCTTGTGCACCGGGCTGCCCTTTTAATTTAATCCCCCATGCCTAGTTTGGCTTGGTTTGATTTGATTACCTGGTTCCTCATTTGAAAAATGTATCTATCCAGGTTTAGTTTGGTTGCACATAACATGAAGGGAAACAAATGATTTACACAGAAAATGATAATTTGTGGTTTTTGGTTGAATGCTAGATGCTGTGGACAACGAATATTTTCTTAAAATGTTGATTTTCTCTACAAAATGATGACATCAATGAACTTCTAAGTATTTTCACAAGATTCAGCCAACTATCTTGATCATGGGATATGTTGAGAATAAGGATCAGTTATATCAGTGTTATGAATGGATTTCCTACAATTACTTTCTAGTATGGAATGAGTTAATAATCCACCTTTTTAAAAACTTGCAGTAACCTTAGATATCTCAAATATTTAGGTTTCCTTTCCAATTTAGGCCAAACACCAGGAAAATTATGAGAATGAGGTTTCCTTATTGAAATTATGAGAATAACTGGTGGTTCTGGACAAAACTTTATTCTCATAAAGAGTTTCTATGATGTTATAGTTCTGAGCAATGTAAAGTAGTTGTGTTCTGTAGCTTGGTGTTCGCCTTTCACTTAACCTGGTTTTCTTATGCAGAGTTTAAGTGGGAAGATGTGAAGGTTGATAAACATCGAGAAAACTATCTTGGTCACAGTATTATGGCACCAGTTGGAAGATGGCAGAAAGGTATTTTGTTTTTTCCAATCCCTCTACATTTGGATGATTATGATGAAATTTCCTACATTTTGTATCATACTTGCACAAGAGACATGAAAATTTTGTTTGATTAGTTATTGTTAAATCTGACCCTTGGAATATGTTTATTTTGGCTTGTCCTTTCTTTCAAGTTTTTGAAATAATTATCAGTATATCCTTAGTTTGCACATGCTTGGATCCTAATTCAAATGTTAACGTAATTGATAGTTCACAAGAAAATCAAAGAAAAAGAAAAAGAAAAGAAAAGAAAATAGTTATTTGGAATGCGAAAAACCACTTGCCCAATACATTGAATCCAAAACAAGGTTTAAAACTTTGGTGTCGGTGGAAATGTCGATCATCCAAATATAGGAAATATGTAGGAAATGTCGGAAATATCATATGGAAGTATTGTGAAAATTATAGACATGGTGGAAACATTGTAAAATATGCAAAAATATATAATGATACTTTATAAAATGATAAAGAAGCATAGGCACACATTTTTAAATTATTATCTTGTACCAAATCATTAAACAAAGCTGAGAAACTAAGGTTATAGATAACAGAATACATTCTGAAGTTGTCCTGTAAACCTTAAGATAAGCTTCATGATAGAATTAGTTAAAGCAAAATTTGAACTCATAGAAAATGTAATTGGTAATAGATCAATCAAACAATCTATTACATAAACAATAATTAATACTTAACTTCATGTTTCATGTTTAAAATGAAAATTGAGTTAGCTCAAAGTGGTAATCAACTAATCATGCAAGTTATCCAGGCAATCACATTGTTACTCCACATATATACACTATTGTCACCAACTTATGTTATAATAATATCTCTTGTACTCTGCATATTCTGGTAGTGTTCACTGGGAATTTGTTGATTGCAGTAAAATTTCATGTTGCTACCCATCGAAGTAGAGATGGAAATATGTCATGGAAACCATTTCTTGCACTCCACATAGTGCTGGTAGTGTTCATTGGGGAATATGTCGATTCTAGTAAGATTTTGTGTCACTACCAATAGAAATGGAAACAATAGGAAATTAAGGACATTTTAAACCATGATCCAAAGTACCAATAAAAGTGAGTCACGGTATGCCCAAAAGCCTATAAATCAATAAGTAGTTATTACAACCAATTTCAAAATTATTATTGCTAAGTTCATGATGTAAATGCTTCTAACTTATTGTATCATTTTATCTAAATCTAAGCTAGTTTACTAGCTTTAGGTTCCAAGACCCCCAAATTTCCAGTTTTCAGCTTGCATGTTTGTATGACCTAATTTGACATCTGTAACTTGCACTCAACCAACCTAAAATAGGAATTTATTCTTCCAACACAACTTCTCAAAACATATTACAAATTAGAATCGTGTCCCACTGGGAAATGTCACAAAACGATTGATTTGCATTAGTCTAAAGTTGGTTGTCGACCAACATTGCCAGAATTTCTAGATTTACTGTGTTCACGGGCCCAACTTCCAAGACTCGTAACTTTCGGTTCAATTATCCGTTTTGCAAGTGTGACTTATCATTGTGAAGACCTCATAACATACTACAATTTAAACATCACTTTTGGCCATAAGGATCATTAGACAACCGCTTTCCAACAGTCTACAATTGGTAGGCGCTAAATTTTTCCTGGAATTCCCAAATCTAACATATTTAAGATACCAACTTCCAAAAACCGTAACATTTAGTCCAAAAGTCCAAATGAAGAGTTAGGCTAACCATTTAGAAAACCTCAAAGATAATTACAATTTAGAACCAAAATCCAATAAAAAGCATCAACAAAATGCTGGTTCCCAACGGATTAAGGTTGGTAGATGAATGATAATAAATTTATTAATTTAGAAGCAAATTTAGAGTGAGTTCATACAACATCCCAGGGAGAGGCGCGAGCTGCAGCCCCTCCTTGAWTCTTACAAGTAAMBTAGGAAAGAAAARMAAGAATCACAACTGAGCCCAAAACAATTCTTCCCTATTTACCCCTTGCTTAGCTAACACATCTGACAAAGTATTTGCTGATCTCCCCACCCACTGTACAGTGACCAACATATTCCTTGTCAACCAACTAAATTTCTTCATTTCATTCTTGTAACACCACATAGCCTCTTTAGGATTTTTCAACCAACCCACCACCACTTTGGAATCTCCTTCGATTGTTAGGTGTTGTACCCCCAGTTGGTTTGCAAATTGCACCCCTTGTACAGCAGCTAAAAGTTCTGCCCTGATGGAATCCCCAATTCCCAAGGGACCTGAGTAGAGCAACAAAATCTCTCTCTTCTCATTTCTCAAAGCACCCACATTCCAGATAATCCTGGATTACTCATGCTACTTCCATCAAAGTTCAACTTTAGTGAGCCTTCAGATGGAGGAGACCAGCTTGTAATTGATTTTCCCTTTAGAGATGAACACCTCGCTACTGTTGACCAATTTCTCGAAAGATCATTAAAGGAGAATTGATGAAAGATTT